TCTTGAAATAAAACAATTTTCTGAATAGAGTCGAATGTTTTCATTTTTATGTCAATTGCTAAAATACATCCTTCAAACTTTTTTAGAAACCAAAAATTACTTGTCGGTGAAGTTTGCCCTGAACTAGTTTAAGAAATAATATTTCCTAGTGACTATGTCAGTAAATACATTATTTCGTTATTTCATATAAATTTACCAAACCAATCGGAAAACCCACGTTCATATTATTTCTGGCTATATGCAAGGGTCATGTATAAGTAAAATCTTAAGTGCCCAAATGAATATCGTATATAATTTAACCATAGTCAAAAATAGGTATAGATGTTTGAGCATTCTGTTGCATATTTATAATGTCTGTTTTTGATTTAAAAGAACAAAAAATATGTTATTATATTTGAATAATCGATAGAATAAACATTTAAATACTGATAATAAAAAAAATAAAATAAATTTAAAAATATATTTCTTTTTAAATAGAATAAATATTCAAGATTATATTTAATGGAAGCATTAATGAAATTTTACGAGCATTCTGTTTAAAAATCATTATTTTTATTTTGTTTTTTTACCAATAGGTTTAATATTTGGTGATTTTAATTAGAATGCTTGTATTCAGTCCTATAATGAATAAATAATGTATATAGAAATTATCTATCTTAATAAAGTGATTATTAAATTTATTATATTATATTATTCTATTATTAAATTATTATATTATTAAATTTATATATTCCATTCGATTGAATACTCACGTCGTACTCATTTGTATCAATGCATTTTTTATCTGCTTTGAATGCAACTTTTCAAGTTACAATGTCGTCTTTCAAATATTTGGTTAAAAAACTATTATATCATCTTTAAATTGTATCGTTGTTTCATACACACAAACACACACAAACACACACACACACACACACACACACACATATATATATTAATTTAGGTTTTCATTTTATAATTCGAATTTTTTCAATAGAAGTATTATTATTATATATTATTATTATTATATTATTATTATATAATTTTTTAAATAATGAAAAATTTTATAATATACTTATACTTTAGTTATAAAATATTAATAAATAATTTGTTATAGTCATATACAAATTGCAAAGATTGCTTAAAAATAAAATAAATTTTTTATTATTTATTAAAAATTAATTTTCATATATTTATAATAAATAAATCAATTATTTTTCATATAAAATATAGTATAAAAATATATTATTTCATTTTAAAAATATTGTTTTCATAATATTAAAGAATGAAAAATTAAATCCTGAAAAACTTTTGGTAAATTAAAAAAACCATCGATTAGGTAAAGAGGAAAAATTACTATATATATTTGAAATATATCAAATAGAATATATTGTTTTTAAATCGTTTAAAATCTTAAATAGAATATACTTATATAAACACACTTATAAAATAATTTGAAATTATTAAGGCAAAATATATTTGTTTAATTTAATTAAAATTCTTATACATAATGTTGGTATGAATAAATTTTAAGTTTTAAAATCCTAAAGTATATGGTATAATTATTAATAAATTATATTGAAGCATTGAAAAATCATTATGTAAAATTGTATTTAGGCTACTTTTGTGAACGCATAATTTCAAACAGGACTAGTATCGGAATAATGAAATTTGAAATTATAGCAGATTGGATCAAAATTATGTACAATAAAAGATTTGTAATAAATAAATAGATAAAATTATATAATTAAAAGTATTTAAACTATATTATCAAGATTATAGTCGATGAACATTTAAGATATATACAAATATAAATTGTATGATTTATTAATAAGCTAAAATAAATATTGTATAGGATATCGGTAATTTGACTGCTTTAAAGCATATTTTTATAAGACTGTACTAATTATTGTTATTTCTAATTTATTTATCGCATTACATTTAAATGAATTTCGTATATAATCCAATTAATTTGATATATATATAATCTACTTTCTTTCTCATGATATACAGTATGTATACGATATATAAAATTTTAATACCAAATCATAGTATATTTTTGTATATTTACTCCTATATAATGAAGAAGCATTTTATATATTGATGTAATGATAAAATTATACTTTGAACTAAACAGGTATGCGAATATTAACAATAATGTTCAAAAGACTAATTTAATATTATCTTTTATTATATTAATATAGTGTGTGTAAATGTAATATATTATATAATCATATAAATCACATAAATATATTATCTCTTTTATAATAATTTTTATAATAATGATTTAGAATAAAAATATACAAAAATTTTTAAAATAATTAATAAATAAATAAATAATGTCAATTTATTTTCGACACAAAAATAATTCTAAATTTTATATATAAAAATATTTATATTCAATTTATTAATGAATATATTGAAGAAATTGAAAGAATGTCTTTTATATAATAAAGCTAATGACAAAATTGATTTTATATAAATGTTTATTTGGGCTTGAGAGAATGAATGAGTAAATGCCAGAGAGAGAGAGAGAGAGAGAGAGAGAGAGAGAGAGAGAGAGAGAGAGAAAGGAAGAGAATGAAAGAGGAAGGAAAAGAAAGAGTGAAAATTTCAATAAAACACAGATAATTTTCGTTCATCTATTTTGAATTATATTGATGATTATCGAATTAATAGAATATTATTATGGATGAAGTTTAAATTTTAATTTAATATAATTATAATGTGATATCTACGTATTTTAATATATTTGTAGTATTTGCAAATTACGTGTAATAATTTATTATATTTTAAAAATATTAACAATTTTAATGGCATTCTACAATATTTTAGTTTTTAAATTTCAGTAAGTAGAATCTCATGTTAATTATAGAAAAGTTTTCTAAATGATTGATTTTGGAAGTTGAATTTATAACGTATTATAATATAGCGATTAATAGTTGTATAATAGTTTTATTATTAGAGTTTTCATATACAAGCAAAACTGATTTTCTTTTATAAAATGTATTCAAAATGACGGAAATTTCAAAGATTTATATAATTTTTTATACATTTTGTATTAGTCAGTCACATAATTATTTGAAGTTAGAAAGGATCGCTTGATTATAAAAGATGTCGAGAAAACAGAAGTAGAAGAAATAAAGTAAAGAAAAGGCGAATAATGTAAATATCATAAGAGGCATACAACATACAAACTAAAGAATCTAAAGCGTCATTAAGTCCAACAACTTAGCGCGTCGTTTATACGTGTTCTAATAAAGAAACGTTCGGTGCTTTGCGATAAAAGTTAATATTAGAAGTCCCACGTTCTACGCTCACGTTTATTTTTGCGCGTCTTCCCGTTTTTCTGCCAATGAATGGCCTATGAACGCGTCCGCGACCTCACGAACAACATTGAATATCGTATCCAGCTGGAATTCAGTAGATTATAGAGCAAATTCCTATCGGTGTATGTTATCACGAAGCTTTGTGCACTATATCTTTACAATTTTATTTTATGCTACGATCTTCCTACACTGATAAAATAGCAAAATTTTATCAGTATAATTCAGGAGTTACATTTCTCTTATTATTTCTCTCTTTTTATACACCATACCATTATTGAATTTTTAAATATTCAGTCACATATTGATTTAATATTGATATCTTTGTATGCACTTGCAGGGTACATAATACTGGATATTTGAGACTGATGCGAATACATTTAATGAATTTTACTTTTATTAATGTTTAACTGTAGTCATGTATGACAATTTAGGTCCTTTGTAATTTGAAAGTTATTAAACTCTGTTATATAATTTAACATATCTTTAAATATATGCTCAAATTATACCATTAGAACTGTTGATAAATAAAGACTTTTGCTATTAAAATTCATAACAAGAAAGTAATTGATCATTTAATTATAATCGGATGTTTTTTAATACTTAGAATTTATAAATAAAATAGAGGTTTACTCAATAAATTTATTAGACATTATGATATAAAATTTGTCGTGTTTTTGAGGGGATATTTTCAAACATTTAATAGTTATGTATAATACTAATGATATAATAATAAAAAGTATTAGATGAGATAGTTAATACCTATACAATAGGGTGATTGATTTTAGCGCCTAATTAAAAGATATAAATATCTTTAAAATTATAGCCAACATTTGCTCGTTATTAAATAATTTTTATTGTAAATTATTTATTAAATAATTTCCAAATTATACAGTTTATAATAGTTTTTTTTTTATTATTATTTTAATATAATTATTTTATAAAATTTTGAGAAAATAATATTTACTATGTAAAAGCTTAAAATATGATTATATTATTATTTTATTAGATAGTTACAATTATTTAGATTAAATTAAAACATAAACGTTAATATAATTAAAATAAAAATTGCTTATTGAAAAAATACTTAAAAATTTTGCTTTTTTGAAAAAATTATAAAAAGTGAAACTTTAAAACAAGATTAAAATAATTATTTCAATACGAGTTAATAAATAAGTCGTGTAATATTTGAAAATATAATTCAAAATTAAAAATAATTTGATCGTCAATTAGTATCTTTGATTATGGTTTCTAAAATTTAGAAATAGTTATAATTTTGTAGATTAATATAATCTATAAAATTAATCATATATAAAATTTAATTTTTATATTATGAATATTGAATAATAATTGGAAGTAGAAAAGATCATACTAAAATTTTCGATGAAAGAGTGATTCAACCAAATCAATGTCATATATAAGTTCAATGCAAAACAAATTTCAGAACGTAATATTAAAAAGATTATGAAATTATTTATAGTTAAATTGAAAATTTATTGATTTTATAATTAGTTATTTATTTTCAAATTATTATTATTTTCAGAACACAGTGTTTTATTTATATTATTTTCAGCTATTTTTAAATACTTTGCAATTTGTTTGTTTTATATTAATTTATGCAGTAATAATTATTAATTAAATTCTTCATTATTAAATATATAATGTAAAATTCTAATAAATTTGTTTCAGTTTATCTGTGTTCCGCTTAAATATTTCTAAGAATGTATCAGCAACGTAGTTGGAAAAAAATCTCACAATTTCCAATTTTAGTTATCAATCAACAATCTCATTTGAATTGAAGTTATACGAAGATAATTTAAAGAAAATTTTACAATTTGACCAAAAAATGGAGCTACTATTTGTTGCCATGTTGGCATTTTTCCCCATCGTGTCAGCGAACAGCGAAACCGATTCAAACGACGACAATTCACAACTCGAAGATCCTGAGAGTAATTGTACAACTATCGATTGCATCCATACTGATGTATATATTGGCTGGATGTATGATCATATATATCCGAAGAGCTACGAATGGATCTTAATTGCCATGCATTGTGTTGTGTTTGTCATTGGCCTCGTGGGTAATGCTCTGGTCTGCCTTGCCGTTTACAGGAACCATACAATGCGAACTGTCACTAACTACTTCATAGTCAATCTAGCCGTAGCCGATCTACTTGTCATAATCGTCTGCCTACCGCCAACGATCGTCTGGGATATTACGGAGACGTGGTTCTTGGGTCTCTTGCCCTGCAAAATTATTCTTTACTTACAGGTAATTAAAATGACTAAAGTTACTTATTCTCATGCTAACGACGTATAGTATATGTTTTGGCTGTAATGTCGGCGTATAATTTTCCTATCCTGAACATTATACTTAAAAACTTGCATAACTTCATTGTTACTTCTTCAATTTCATTTACACATCATATATAGTAAAATATTATTAGCAAATAAAATAAAACATAAATATTCAAAAATATTTATTTCAGTTTTAGTATAATATGATGTAAAATGGATAATGAGATTATTATTTTTTCTAAAGATAAAGTATATTGACAATTAGTTAAATGTAATTTAAAACTAAATGTTTTAAAGTAATTGCTGACTATTTGATTCTTGAGCCTAATTCACTCAAAACACAGATAATATTATTGATTATTTATGTAATCATAAGCTAATTAGAATATAAAATTTTAAGTATTTCTTTTTTATCTAAGAACATTTTATATAATACATTTTTTATGAATTTTTTTGTAGAAAATTTTCGTAAATTTTGACGTATTAATTAATTTATTTTACTAAATTATTTGGATTTGGGATTTCTTTATTCGGACGCACGTTTTATTCGATTGATAATTTAAATAGCCACGAACAGATTCACCATCGATTCGAGAAGCTCTTTCGAAATAGATTTTAAAACACTCTTCAAAGAGATAAATGGCACATCTCGAGAAATACTGATCTCATCCAATTCTAGAATCACAAAGGCGAATCAGGACGCATATGTCTAAATTTCCATTTTCTTTTGATCTTTCTCATACACTCCAGTTGAAATATTATGTTGTAATAATATGATAACGGGAAATATTCTAAAACCGGGAGAAACCATTTTAATCCGTAGTCCAAACTTATAATCTCAATATTTGCGTCGGTTATGTACCAAAAAACAGATAATGTAATATAATATCTTTTAGGGGCGTATTTCTTCTTTGGTCTCTATAGCTTATAAAATACAAATGTTAGGTTTTCTTTAATTACGAAAAGCATTTGTTGCCATAAAAGTTATCCTTTACTAATTTCTTTGACTTCTCTTCTACCTTGTGATGGAAGCCCATGCATATTAGTTAGTTATCCATTATTATTTTTATCATGATTATTCATATGGGTTATATGAATGTCTTAGTACTTGATTTCGTAAAATTTTGTTTAAAAATGAAATAAATTGAAAAGATCGTACTTGTAGAATAAATTATTAATTATATGAGATAATAATTAATATTAATGCAATATATTTCTAGAATAAAGTAATCTTTCCGATTAACTATTTAATATTTATTATTTAATTTGTTTAATCTATTTTAGATTTTTAAAGAACACTTAACCTTTCATGTTAATTACTTTTGGAAATGTAACTAATTATATATTTCATATATTTTAAATATTATTTCCAAATATTTTATCTTAATGAATAAACAATATTTAAATCTAATAGTTATATTTGCAAACTTTTTATAATATTTAAATTTGATTTTTATAGTATTTAAAATAATTTTTATCTTTAAATATTTGAATACAATATTTATATTAACTATTAACCTATTTCTTCAAAGCAAGTTTTGAAATGCATAAATAAACTTTTCTGAATAATATTTTAACACAAAATCAGCAATTCGAAAAAAAATAATATACAATATTAAAGTAGTACGTATGAAAAAAAGAAATGATTAATTTTTGTTCGTTTTTCATTACTTATAATTTCCATTAAGATAATTAAACATTGATAATACAAATATTTATATAATTTTATTCTTATATTTCTTTTATTTAATAATTAAATTTTTATATTTGTTACCATTAGTGCATGACAGAGATAAAAATGCATAATCTTTTAATCATTTGCGTAATTTCATACGACAATTTACAATTTAATCCACTTTTCAAAATACTATTGAATTATAGTATTTTTTATTTTTACTTCAATATATTGTTATTATTATATAAATGATGAATGATTTCGATATATAATTAATAATAATATGGTAGAATGTGCGAAATAAAATTATAAGTCGCATAATCAATATTTAATGATTTGAAAATTCCTCCCATACTAGTTTAGTTCCGAAACTCACCGCTACGTGTCGTCCTGTAAGTAGTATCTGTAAGTGAAGTATGATGGTATAGTTTACTTAATGCTCAATTCTGGTCATAGTACTTCATAAAAAGGGTACTCGCTACTTCCATAGCGCGTTGATTTACTATTGTAAATCAGCGGGGTATGGCTATCAAGACATACCCAGTATGTAATTTTTGTAAACAGAGGTCGTCGGCTGCCAAATGCACTGACGCCTCTTCATCATACAGCAAACAAAGTGACTTTTATTCAGTCTTTTATAATTTTTCATAACTTATTTATAATAGAGTTAGGGAGGAGGGTCTACTCATATATTAAGTATATAACATTTAATTGTTTTATTTATTATTTTGATTTTCAAAATAAAAATAGGTTCTAGGTGGACAGAAATTATTAGTTCTATCTCATTTGGAAATGGCGTTATGGTGGTGGGCATTTACATATTTCCAGTTTGAAAACTTTCTTTCTATTGCAATGATATTATTGGTGGTATTTACGAAAAATATATAAATTAATATTTCATTAAGTCATTAAGTGCTAAAATCGAAATATAACAGAATTATGGCGTCGTGAAAATTTCAAATATTTATAATTACAATGCAATCTGTGAAAATAATTGGAGCTTTTTTTTAATAAGTGAGAAAGAACGTTACAATTAAGAGTCTACTTTTCCTCCGATCATATATCATATTAATATATATTTAATGCTATAATTTAATTTCGTCTATCCTTATAATATATGTTATTTTGGTATTTCTTAATTTTAATAGTTTATCAAAAGTTAAATTGTTTATATTTATTTAGTAGATGTATAAATTCTATTATCTCAGGATAGTCAAATCAATTTCTTATATACAATTATTAAAAAATATTTCAATTTATTAATTTTACCTTTAATGTATAGGTTTTAAAGCAATATGTGTGAAATAAATATTAGAAAGTTTTATTTGATGAATTTAAATTTAATTTAATTAGATTTACTTTAATGTTTTAAAAATATAATAGTTATAGGTGTAAAATACTTTAAATTAGTATATTACATAATAATTATTACATTATCATTATAATAAAAGAATTAAAAAAAATGTTTTCACCTTATTTATAAAGAAAAAATGAATAAGAACGATTATGACACTCTACAATCTACGAAAAGCATCTTTTATTTTGCATATCACATTTAAGAAATAAATTATATAAACAGAAATTTACTTGTTACTGAATAACTCAGGGGTGTTTTCTATTGGCTTTTAAAAAGTAGTTATGATATGACATTATATAGTTATGAATAACAGCATATTGACGTTTCGATTGTACATGGTGCCACACATTATTTGATTTGCATAAGATAACCAGCGCACAAGCATTAGAGAATAATTCGAGCATGAGTATTTCAGGGATGGATTATGTACTGCCATGTTGATTAATGTGAGATAGCTATAGAATTATATATGATGCAAAGTCAGTATATTACATTAACAGATTAAACGGTTTTACTTTCCGGTTTTGCACTATATTATCACTTCAATTTTTTACGATGTACTACTTTATACTAAAAGATATCCGATAATTTTCTCTTGTACATTTCTAACTTACTTTTGAACACTAAAAGTTATTATGAAGTTATAATATAAAGAATTGTGGCAGTATATGAATATATAACAATTTTAGCACATGATCTATAATTATAAGCGTACATAATAAATGATAACTATGTGGAAACGTAATTGTAACTCCATAATATAACTTAATGATTCATAATTTAATATATGTTAAACGATAGTTTTATATTATAATAATATTTGCAAGAAAATTAGAATTCTAAAAATTTATATTTTTAAATAATATATATTAATATTATTCTGAAAAATGATTAAACTATTGTCATTTTGCTAATAGAAACTTATTTTTGTATAAAGTTTTGTATAAAGTTTAGATAGTTTTAGTAACTAAAAAGCAAATAATAATAATCTTAAATAAATACAACAACAAAATATGCTACTATTTAATGTAAATTATTCAATTAATAATTTATATTGAATTTTTTCGGACAATATAAAAAATTCGAAATCTTTGAATATATACTGTTATATTTCGTTCATAGACAAAAACGATTGTCGATGTCATATTGTTATATTCTAATTGATTTGATTTTTATATTTGTTTGATAAAAATATTATTTTTGGAAGTAAATAAAATACAGACTATGTATTTCTGTTAATTTTATATTCAATATCAATTTTAATATTTGATATGCAACTTAATACATACGAGCGCACACGCATACCCCCATATATATGTTTTGTAAGTATATTAAGAAGTACGCGTCTTTGAATGCATATCACGGTTCACAAAATCGTTATTCCATGTTTTATATGCAGTTTTGCGGCCACATTCATCATCCACTCGATAATATTATTCAAAGCATAGAACCGAATGTAATTGATATATGATATTATAAAGAAAAAAATTATTATTGATTTTTATTTTTTATATGTATACAACAACATAAATTAAGAATAATTAGATTACATATAATATGAGCACGTTAAATATTTTTAATATATTTAAGTTTTATTATTAAGTATTATTTGGGTGTAATATTAAAAATTCAATAAAATTTTATACAATAATTTTTGAACATTATTTAAGAATATATTTTATATGAGAATATTTTATAAAAAATAAAACTAACAAATTAATAATTAAATATATGATAGATTTAATATCAAATTTTTTTTTAATTTTGTTAAGAATTATTTTATTTATGCTTTTTATTATTTACTTTATAATTTGTATTATTGATACATTTTCAAATTTCTGAAAATATATTATTTTTATTACATGAAAAAATTTTGTATTGATTTTTGTATTGAAAATGATGATCAATTTATCAGTTAAAAAGTATAAAATTGTAAAAAGTACAAGAATTATAATAGAATCAAATAACATTTTTATAATAAATTTTTAAA